TATCCAACCTCATTTGTTCCAGTAGCGTGCCCTATCTCTGAAGATTTTTGGTAATAAATGAATGCCTTATATTCATCCTTTTCAACTCCAATTCCTTTATCATAAAGAAATCCAACATTATATGTTCCAGTAACGTGTCCCATCTCTGCAGATTTTTGACAATAAATGAATGCCTTATGCTCATCTTTTTCAACTCCAATTCCATTTTGATAACAATATCCAACATTATTTGTTCCATCAACATGTCCCATTTCTGCAGATTTTTGATAATAAATGAAAGCCTTATGTTCATCCTTTTCAACTCCAATTCCATTTTGATAGCAATTTCCAACACTATTTGCTCCGGTTGCATGCCCCATCTCTGCAGATTTATGATCATAAATAAAAGCTTTATGTTCATCCTTTTCAATTCCAATTCCATTTCGATAACAATATCCAACATTGAACGTTCCTTCAGAATTACCCATCTCTGCAGATTTTTGATAATAAATGAATGCCTTCTGTCCATCCTTTTCAACTCCAATTCCATTTTGATAACAATATCCAACAGTATTTGTTCCAGTAGCGTCACCCATCTCTGCAGATTTTTGATAATAAATGAATGCCTTCTGTTCATCCTTTTCAACTCCAACTCCATTTTGATAACAATACCCAACATTAAATGTTCCAACAGCGTCTCCCATCTCTGCAGATTTTTTAAAATAAATGAAAGCCTCATGCTCATCCTTTTCAACCCCAGTTCCATTAAGATAGCAATCTCCAGCATTAAATGTTCCAACGGCGTCTCCCATCTCTGCTGATTTTTTATAATAAATGAAAGCCTTATGTTCATCCTTTTCAACTCCAATTCCATAAAAATAACAATATCCAACTTTAAATATTCCAACCGTGTTTCCCATCTCTGCAGATTTTTTATAGTAAATGAAAGCCTTATGTTTGTCCTTTTCAGCTCCGATTCCTTTATCATAACAATGTCCAACATTTTTTGTTCCAACAGCGTTTCCCATCTCTGCAGATTTTTGATAATAAATGAAAGCTTCATGTTCATCCTTTTCAACTCCAATTCCTTTTTCATAACAATATCCAACATTATTTGTTCCAGTAGCGTCACCCATCTCTGCAGATTTTTTATAATAAATGAAAGCCTTATGTTTATCCTTCTCAACTCCAATTCCATTTCGATAACAATATCCAACATTATTTGTTCCAGTAGCGTCACCCATCTCCGCAGATTTTTTATAGTAAATGAAAGCCTTGTGTCTATCCTTTTCAACTCCAATTCCTTTTTCATAACAATATCCAACTTTAAATGTTCCAACAGCGTTTCCCATCTCTGCAGATTTTTGATAATAAATGAAAGCCTTATGTTTATCCTTTTCAACCCATTTAGCATAATGATAGCAATTTGCAAGGACGATTTGAATCGTAGGATTGGTTTGATCATTTAAGCAAGCATCGATAATATCATTAGGATTGTGCTTCTTTTTTATTAGAAATTGTTCTAATGTGTCAAGAATTAAACGAGGATTTTGGCCTTTTGAACTTTCTTCATTATATAGATTACACATTTCTTTAACAACTTCATTAAGTGAAAAATCCTGTGACTTGTTATCATCTAAATACAATTGAGTAACATTGTTGACTATTTGAGTAGTATCTGATGAACTGTCGATTTTTTCTGGTTGCTTTTCGCACATATTATTGTAAATTGACATATTGCCACAAGAAAGAACGTGTTACATCAAACTTATTGAAGGTACATAGGCATGTATTACGCTGCACAATGTTCATTTATAATTGCCGCATATACATTGTTATACCGATACGTATAAATTTTTTGCATGAAAGGTCATATCATATGCTTGAATTCAATTCGCCAAGTTAAATTGACAATCTTCTGATTGGTTGTTATTCTATTTTTAGAGCGTTATGTCTTCGAAGAATTGATTTTTCAAGTCAATATTTCATTAAGCTAATATATAATAATAAATTGTATCGCATAAAATTGGTCAGAAGTGCCAAACGGTAATTTTCCTAGCAGACAACCCATATGTGTATTCTAATACATTACAATATCACATGTGGTGTAGAGATGATGGTTAATCACGTGGCACGCGGATAATTCGGGCCAATACCATAATTCCGGCCGAAAGTTACAGTAATCCCGGTAACTATCCCGCGAATCCCGCCGTCACGCGCGGGATTTAGATTATTGAGTAGCAATCTTGAGGTGTATGGACTAAAACTCAAAACGCGACTAATAATGAATATTTGCAAAAATTAATGAGGCTACCAATGTGTGATATAATAGATTGCACTAATGGTCCAAAGAAATCCAAAATTATATAAATTGATAATAAACACGCGTAAAACTATATTTTACTTTAAATTTTATCCTCTTATAAACGATTGAATTATTCGTAGTTTTTAAAATAATATAGTGTACGTATACAGAAGGTGTCTAAATTATGATCGATTTATGACAAACGATACAGAGAAATTTTTTTTTTATATTTTCGCCATTATGCCAAGTGCCAGGTTGCTGAAATTATTATAGATTGCCAATCTATTATAGACTACGATATTACGTATTATAGACTATCTATATCGATATTTAAAGAGGCATTTACAAATAACATTATCATGAAGATGTGATCTTAAAATGCCCTTGATAAAAATGGGTTACTTAAAATTACATTATACTAAATATTGATATGTCATTATGTTACAAAATAAAAAACTTCAAGCTTATTATAAATTGTACAAAAAAGAAATCTTTTTATCCATTAAAAGCTCTTTATTGTTAAATAATTTTCTGATACTTGTATTGTAAAGAAAATATTTTTTATTAGTTCTTTATGTAATATTAATGTTACTTCATTATCATATAAAAAATTTACAATTATTCTTTCTATAACGAACTGGCAGTTCTAGAAGTAGAAAATTATTATGTTTTATTAAGAGTCTATAGCAACCTTTTAGACGAACTGTTATAGAATTTAAAAGTTTGATCCAGGGCTCGTTTATGATGATGTAGAATCAATTGTATACATATAAAAAAATTTTGTTGAATAGATACTAAATTAATTAACTATTATTTTTAAAAAAAATTTTTTATTAAAAATTAAATAATTTGTTAAATAATTTTTAAAAAAGTGTTATTAAATACACAAATAACCTTCATGAATATATTCAATAAAAAATTTGCTAACTTCAATATAATTGAACCTTTATTTAATCTAAAGTTTTGTACAGACATCCCAAAATATATTCGACACATTAAAGTAATTTTTACAATCTGAATTATTTCTGGCATTCTAAATTATTTATGATTCGGGCTATCCAAAGTAATTTGGTCATTTAATTTACGTCAAAATAATTTAGAATGTATGCTGCGTTCTTAATTGAAAGAGAGGGTGTGTCTCAACATCAATAAATATATCTTGTGCAAGATCAAAAACCAAATAAATTAATATTTTTTACTTACAGAAGTTTATTTATTGTATCACTAATCCTAATGAAGGAATTAAATTTACAAATTTACATTCGTTGTTATATCTTATTCAAAATAAGTGATACCTGACAAAGCCTCTGACGGTTAATGAAACCTTATAAATCAATTCCATTAATAAATGACTGACTTTCATTTAACGAGCTCCTTAATAATAAATTCTGAATATACTGAATCTTTAATTCAAAGAAAATTAATTATCAAATCCCTTTCCTTTTCGCATCTAAAGAAAAGGTTCTTTTTGACATGTTTTTCAAGTTTACAAAAATTATGTAACAAATGATATAAGATCTATAAACATAAGATAACACAACTAGAAAAATTAAACGTTATATAAACTGATTTATTTACTTTGCGAAAGAAATAGTACATCATTCATACTTTGGGTGCCATATTATTTTGAACACTTTTTGGGCTGCCATGGGTAAGCGCAGCACGAAATTTATTAATATCACGTATTCGGTAGAACTCAAAGTACAACATACAAAAATTTCATGCAATTTTGTTATGTAAAAAGTAGTACAAAGCACCGTTTTGTACGAAAATCAATTTTTGAAAAAAAAAATTCACCAAAAATCGAATTTTTGTTCAAATCGCTTTAAATTTCACTCAAATATTGTATGATAAGACAACGTTATGCCGGATCAGGTGCAATTGACAAGAAAATTAAGATCTTTTTTTTTCACAAAAATGATCGATACAAGACTTAACTGATGAACGAAAAAACTCTATAATCTGGGATTCTGCTTGTTCTAGTGTTGCTGAGGTTGACTGTAAGAAGTTCGTCACATAAAAGGTAATAAAAGAGCTTCATAAGGTGGATAACTTGGAATGGCAAAAAAAAGAAAAAAAAAAGACCTGGACATTCAAGATTGCACACCCTTTGCAACTTCCCTTCACAATTTCCTAGTCTCAAAAGTCTAATCGCAAGCAAAAAACACCACCCAAACCTATTCTAGACTACTAACCATTTCAAATACTAACAAAAAAAAAAAAAAAAAAAATACAGTACCATACCATTCGTCATGAATATGTATTGTGGTCTGATAAAATCACAATTGGCCTTTTTTAGGGTTCTTCTGATGGATTTGGACGTGCACCGCATAAGGTATAAGAAATGGTGTATTGAATGTTTGAGTCGCTTGTCAAGTGTAACTATTAGTTTACTAATTTGGCTTGTTTCTCCTGGTCTTGATGTCAGATTATGATGCCGTTTGCGTTAGATTAAAATAAAATAAAATAAAAAATAAAATTTTAGCAAATAAAAAAAATCAAAATTTTAAATTTTTTTGCATATTATTCGCAAATTTTAATAAAATATCATGCTGTGCTTACCCGATTTTAAGCGATGGCAACCAAAAAAGTGTTTACGATAATATGGCACCCCACTGTATGCTTCATAAATCGTCATCGATTTCGTTATTCGTCTTATCCTTTATAAGTTTCACCATTCGTCAATTCGTCACCACCATACTTAAATCCCTAAATGTTATTCATCAAAGACGTTAACATTAGTATTTATTGAAAGTGTTTGCATCCATCCTCGCTTAAATTCATGTCTTTGGAAATTTTTAGCAAATTTGGCATTGCCGAAATGCAGTTTTGATCTAGCTTTGGTAGAAAATCCGCTTCTGATCAGTAACTTTTACCAATCAAAGCTCAAGCCAACAAAGCATTTTCTTGTTTCTTTTTTTTTTTCTCGAAAAAAATTCAAATAATAATTCGAAAAGTACCTAAATTATTTGAAAAGTAAAAAAAAGATGAGATTTTATTCGGAAATAAATGTTGGTCTACGCCTTAAGCAAAGATTCTAACTATAAGAATTATTGTTCAAAATTAGACCACATTTAAGCTAAATTTGAAATTTGCAAAGATGTTCAGTTGCTCTATGTCCGGCCTTACGGCAAGTCATCAATTATAGAATG